CAATAATATAATTATACATATATATATATATATATATTTCAACTCGACTAATTAATTATATAGTCTATGGGTGTCCCATTGGCTTACATAGTAAATAAAGAAATGTAGCTAAGGATTTGGTCAAGTTCTATTGTCAAAAAGTTAGTTTGGAAGTTTGAATTTGATTTTACATTGATTTTTACCTTTCTAAAAAGTAATTAGATTGAAAGTTTTTGCTTTTTTTTTTTTTTTTTTTTTTCTATATAACGTAGGAACCCGCAGCCGCTACTCGAAAGTGCGCACTGGGTGAATCTCCGAAAAATTTAAACCCATAATTCTACGGTCACAAATCCAACTTCTACACCGCCGGGCCATCCCTTACGGGGACTTAAAAGTTTTTGCTTTTACTTAAGTATTTTGTTATTACTTCCAAAAGCAAGTAATAATCATAATAATAATAATAATCAATTTGAATGAATGAATCATAATTTAGCTGTGAATAGTCATAATTAATATATTATTTTATAATGTAAAATTCACCATCTATAATTTTCCGAAGCAATTTTTTTTTTTTTTTTAATAAACCTCTGATTAAACCCAAATAATAATTCATATTGTAAGAAAAGTAAATAAATAAAAGACACACTATTTTTAACTAGAATGCAACGTATTGAAATATTTTAGATATATACTTGAGTTTGAGTGAATATTGATCTATTTTAGATATTTAATTTAATTTATATTTGATCTTATCCATAAATACGTTGTTTAGATTTGAGTCTATCAAATATGCTTATATATAGGCTCTTATTTTTATGATCAAATAATGTCAATTTTTACTCTTCATAAAATATTATAACATGATATCAAAGTCTATTTTAATACAATATATTGCGTTTATTTGAGTACATTCAACTTGAGTACATTCAACTTGGAATGTATTGGAGGTCTCCAAAATTTAAAATTTTGTCTTTCCGCTTAGAGTTTTGGTTTTCATCTACGCTTGAATTTGAGAGTCTTGTTTGCTATCCACCTTTCGTGTTTCTTCAGAGTTGTGTGTAATTTGAGAGTCCTATCTGTATATCTATTTGCGATCTGTCTTTCATGGTTCTCCAGAACTATGTGTCTGACTGCATTGAGTCTCGTCATTTTTTACTTTGTTTAGAGTCTCATTTAGAGTCTCGTTGTTTCCAACTCTGTGGAGTGTTCTATTGTTTCCGACTTCGGTGAGAGTCCTGCCATTTCCAACTTCTTTGAGACTCTTATTATTTCTGACTCTAATTCAGTTGAGAGCATCGTCTATGGCTTTAATACGGTGGAGCGGCGGTCACAATGACATACAAACAATTGTTATTTTTGTTTGCATATTTTGCGTTTGTGTTCAATTTTTTTTGTTAAATTTAAGTTGATTTTTGCTATATCACTTAAATTTTAGGAAATGATGAAATATTTTAAATATTCGGTTTAGATATAGATTTAATCTTATTCATATATTATTATTTAGATTTCAGTCTATCGAGTCTATTTTATAGTGCATATATATAGACCCTTGTATTAATGATCAAATAATGTAATTTTCGAATTTTCGTAAAATACTCACATTTTAGTTTATTTTTGCGAAAACTCAAACGTTACATTATTTAATCATTAAAATAAGGGTTTGTTAAGTTTGTATATAAGCACTATAAAATAGACTTAGATAAAGTCAAATCTAAACCATTTAATCTATAGATAAGATCAAATTTAAATATAAATTGAATGTTTAAAATATCTCAATATTTTTTCCAGATTCAAACTCAAGTGGTACATTTTAGTTATCTCAACACAACCAACCAGTCTTTTAAGATTAAGTAGTCATGAATCTATGTTTAGTAGAAAGACCAAGTAGTCATGAATCTATGTACAGTAGGTTATTATTATTATTATTATTATTAGACCGTTGCTAATTAGTTATAATGCATCCTCCGTCCTGTTGTAAGATTGCTATTTAATTTTTGCGTCGTTGTATTTGACATTAAAAATATTTTTATATTTGAATACTTTAGTCCACAAATATCATTATATTTGTATTATAAAAGACTAATAAATATATTTTTATTTTTTTTCTTTTGATTATACTATAAATTAATGTAATAATAATATTCAAATATTAACATAAAAAAAAAAATCAACGACGACCTTCTTTGCGGAACAGAGGGAGTATATGCTTTTAAATATTTCCATTGCTTTGTATTCGACGTAAGCTTGTTAATAATAGGCATGCCCAATTGATTGAAGGTATATATATATATATATATATATATTCTAGACTGTAGAGCTTACAAGGCGTGAGTGCTTTTTAATGTAAATTTGGTATGTAATATTGAAAATAAATAAATTTTAAATCGTTTCGATTACCGTGGTGATTGAATCAAATCAACATGATTCGAATTTGATCCAATTGCAAATATTTATTAAACACATATTTGAATAGGACATTATATAATTATATGTAGCAAAATATATGTTGATTTCTAACAAACTATATTATGATTTTAGCAAAATAGTAACTTGATCTAATCAGCAAATATCTATAAAAAAAAAAAAAAATTAACAAATATTCATATAATATATAACACATTATATTACACAACATATGTTATCTTCAGTATGATAATTTGCTAATTGTTTCAGGTTAATATCCTAACTTGATAATATGCTATCCGTCGTTTGATGATTTGTTGATTATTTCAGATTAGTTTGCTAATTTGGTCAAAATAGCACGATGACCGAATCGGCACTGTAACCGCCGTCTTTTTAAATATGTATATTTACATTGAGATTTTCATTTATTTTTTTTGTTACTAAAATTGATTTGTTTATATTGATAATAAATCTTAATTTACTTGATAAAGAAAAGCTCCCGAAAAAAATATTATAATATTGACTAACTTGTAATCTTATAGGCGTCATTGGAAAATACAATAAAAATAAAATTAAAAGAATTCATCAACTCATTTAACAACAATATTGGAACTACTTAATACTCCGTCCGTTTCAATATAATAGTCTTATTTATTATTTTTTTTCGTCCCTAAACAATAGTCTTATTTACATAAATAACCATATCACCGATAAAATTACATTTACTTTTTCATTTTTATTACACAATTGTCACTGGTTTTACACTAATACACTCACAAGGGCAAAAAAATCTTTTATCTATACTTTTTACCACCTACCAATATAATATCAATATTCCTTAAATTCCGTGCTCAATCCAATTAAGACTATAGTTATAGGACGGGGGAACTATTATATTAAACGCTTAATAAAATAATTTCGCAAATGGTCATGCAAACATTTTTGTTTGCAGGGTATTAGGTTCGGCCGAGGGTTTACCATGCGCACTTTCGAGTGGCAGCTCGCACGTCATCCAAAAGAAAAAAGAAGTAAAAAAATCAATAATTTATTAATTTTGTATTAATGGTTGATTGATCTAAAATATTTAATTTTTTTTTTAAATACATATTTTTTTTATAATAAATAACTTAAACAATATAATATTAATAATATATACAAACTGTATAACGTAGGGATCAGCACAGTAGTTACTACAGATCATTAAACATTTTCACGCCTCATATAATTATTTTTCTATTTCTCCTCTAGCTCATCTTCTTATAGGGTAGTATATAAAATTAAATTATCTTCTAATTTGAAGATACCCGTGCTTCAAAGTTCATACATTACCATATTAAAAGTTCAAATAAATATCAGAAATTTCACCAATTTAAATAAATTCGCCTCGTATTTTATCTATTCAAGACATAAATAAACTCCATTGTAAATACAAAACCGAAATCATTGATCAGAAGTTCTGAAATCGATTATCCAATTGAAATCGAATCCGAGCCTCGCGTACAATTTCCTTGAAGTGAATTCGGTCCGCCACCCATCAACTTCCAAGATAGAACGAATTAAATGGAATAACATATTTCGGGAACCGAAACAGGAAGTAGGAATTTCAAGAGAAAAAATTTGGAACAGAAAATCACATATTAAAAAAATCTTAGAATGCCTTTGAAATTAAACAGAGAAGCTCTCCTTTTATAGGAATTTTGGATGTATTATTTAATTGAAGAGGAAAATATTTATTTTAAATCACACGTCTTTCACCCACCACCATAGTATTAGAAACACCTTGCAAAATCAGTTGCAACAAATTAACTTAGATTGTTTCAAGTCAAATTTTACAATATCAAAATTAATTTAAAATTGAATTGAATTTTATTGAGTTTGGCCCACAAGCCCCATAACCCAAATTCAAGCCCAACTATGGCCCAATTCAATACATGTCCCAATTTATTTATTTTTTATTAACTATGGGGTCTATTACAATATATGGTAGATAATGTTTGTTTCATCTTCTAATTTAGGACAATATCTTTTCATCTTCTCCATCTTTCTCTTTCACCCGTACACTCACACTCGATAAATTCCTCAAATATGTGACCAATCTCCTTAACGGTGAGGCAAAACTCACACAAGAATGACATGAGTTTTAGCTCTTCTCATTTGGTAAAAATGGTGTAATAAGGTAACATTTTCAACTTACATTCTTTTTGAAAAAGATACATTATAATAATACTCATTTTTTTAATATTTTAATTTTTTTTTTTTTAAATAATAAATTACAAAACTCCAAAAACCTAAACTCTTTTGAAACGAGACCTAATCTTACTCTAATTAGTCTCAATCTAGTTATAGTCAACAAACAAACTTTATTCAAAATGTGACTTGTCTTTAATCACGTTATTTCTATCAATATCAATATCAATATCCTTATCCAATATTCATTTCGTATAAGATTTGAATTCGTTATATTACTACTTACATTTGCTAAAAATATATTCTAACTAAACATTTTGAAATTTCAAAAATATTAACGGATGTGTTTGTTTTGTGAGATTGTTGGAAAAAAATATTTTTTTAAAAAATGTATAGTATATTAATATTTTTGAAAGAAAAAAGCTTATATACTCGGCTAAATCGTATTTTCCATTAAAAAATTAAATTAAAATAATACAGAAGTCGCTACTCTCATATAAGAAGCGTGCTGTCGTCACAACGAACGAATAAACAAATCCAAGCATATCGCAAATATCCACATATTGTTCTAAGACCCGGGAAGAGTCTACTAATTATCTTTTCCTAACGGACTTTTTTGCAATTTTCTAAACCACCCCGGACTTTTTACTGTCAGGTGCATTTGGTTGGTCCATTCTAAAATTTTAAATAACAATCATCGGTGATAACGGCGATAACGGCGGAATTTCGAATATGCCTTTCTCGTCTCCACCGTCCCAAACGGCCGTCCAACTTGACGGCGTTAATGGAACCGCCGTCGACGGAAATTCACCTTCCGCTTTAACTTCTTCTCGCTTGATCTGTTTCTTCTGCTTCTGTTCGATCGGAGTTTCTCTGCTCCTTTTCCGGCAGCCGAGTGCGGCGGGAGTCACCGGCGGATTCGAATATCCGATTTCGAGCGGGAAATTCAGTATCGCCTTGCTGCCTCTAAGCTTGAACGCCGCCCTATCGTAAGCTTTGGCTGCTTCAATGGAAGTATCGAACGTACCGAGCCAAACGCGAGTTCCCTTCCGATTCGGATCTCGTATCTCCGCCGCGAATTTTCCCCACGGCCGCTGCCTGACGCCGCGGTAGTGCCTCTGCTGAGCGGAATACTCCTCATTCGTCACGTTCGGCTCCGCCGCAGCGGCGGCGGCTGGATTTCGACTCCAATCGACGGTCGCCGTCGCGCTCGGAGTTGGAATCGCTATGTTGAGAGAAGGCTTCCGTTCGGTGAAGTTCTTCCGCTTAATCGAGGTCTCATTGGTTCCAATTTGTGGTTTCATTTCGAATTCTAGGTATTCGCCCTCAGATTTGGGGGTATAAAAATTACTCGAGAACTCAATGCTCGAGGCGCGGCTACTCACAGCGGAGAAGCTGAAATTAGGGTTGAATTGCGTATTGCTGTGGTCAATCGAGGAACAGGAGGTTGAATTCATGGTTAATTCGGAGATAACAGAGCTGGAATTGCTGGAAGTCCTGGAAATGTTGCCATAAGTTTCGGCAAAGGCGCCATCGTCGAGAAGATGCTGGCGTATGAGTTCGAGCGCAGAACACTCATCAGGTAAGCTCACTGTGTCCATTCCTTTCCCCTTTTTCAATCACAGAAAATTGTTGAATGTGGATCGATCACCTGCAGTGCTGTGTTTATGATGATGATGATGATGATTGGGGATTGAGTGGAAGATGAGGAGTGAGGATTGTGGGTTAAATAGGGTTGGAAATTTGGGGGAGGAGGATGGTTCGTGGGAGGGTTCTTGGGAGGTGTGGGGAAGCATCGTTCAATCCATATCAATGGAGGAGGAGTTGGAATTCAGCGATGTGGGCTGGGTTGAAACTGCAGGCAGGTATGTCCAAAATGCTGTGGGGGCCGTTTCTTGATGGTGATATATACAGATTAGATTATATATATATATATATGTGGGGGGGGGGGGGGGGGGTAGTTGGAACGGCGTCGTTTTCGAGTTTGGTTCTAGTCTTGTGTGCTCCACAGAGACACTTGCAAATCCTTCCATCGTCTGTTTCCAGGCTGTTTCCATAATCCAATCTTTGCTTTTCGTTGCTTGCTGTGAAATGCTAATAGTTTAATCATCGTATTAGGAAAGTATGCATGTTTGAGTTTGTTTAGACTTCCATTTGTGTTTTTGTTTTAATTTTTTATTTCGATCTTAATTTAAATAGTATTTTGATATTATAATTTTATAAAAAAATATGTTGTATTTTTATTTAGAACCATGCAAGTTAGATACTGTAGGTTTAGAGGTTTGAATTTTGGATTGATTGGATAGTAAAAAATTTGAATTTGAATAGTTGTATAATATGATACTAATATATATTGATGTAATATTTTGAATGTAAAAATTAATTTTTACTATAATATAAAAAAAAATAGGTGTTTAATTTGATATTTTTGAGGAAAAAATTTTGAAAATCCTTCGAACAAATACACTATGCAAAGATGGGTTAGGAGTTTGAACCAAACAAACCCTTAAATCATCTATTTTGGTAAAATTATGTAAGAATAATAATTTTTTTAATGTTAAAATGGAATATTATAAAAAAATAAATAAATATATTATAGGAGTTTAAACCAAACAAACCCTTAATCAACTATTTTGGTAAAATTATGTAAGAATAGTACTCCCTCCGTCTCATTATTCTGTTTTATAACAAAGTATTTATTTTCTTTTATAGTAACTGTACTATCTATCTAACGTTACAAATATCTTTACAATTTACAATATATTACACAAATGTCATTACATTTATATCATACATATTAATAAAGTTATTTTAGTTATTTCTACTTTATTTCTACTATATCTCAATATAATACTAATATTTTTAAAACTACGTGCAAAAAACAAAAGAATACTTATTTTTGAGACGGAGGGAATAATATTTTTAATATTAAAATGAAATACTTAAAGTAGAATGAAATATTATAAAAAAATTATTAAAAATGATAAAATATATATATATATATATAGTACGAGAGAGGGAGAAAAAATAGTAACAAATTAGTTATACGTAAGTTTAGTTTACGGCTAAAAGAAAAAATCAGAGATATATTATTGAGAGTTAATATTTAAGATTGTGCTTTGATATATCTTTCAAAAGTCTTTTGGAAAGTTTAATAATAGTAAAACAATAATATTTGATATTATATAAATAATTATTGAATGAGATAATTGGTATATATATAATATTTTAAATATAAAGTGTATATTTTATATTTCTAAATAAATATTATTATTGATGTAACCCCCCGCTGTCATGTCATTCAAAATTATAGAAGATTATGTAAGTAAGATAAATATAATTAATATGTATTATGTATTAATTTTTTAAAAAAATGTATAAAAAAAAAATAATAAAAAATAAAAAAGAGAAAAAAAGAACACACCCTTTGTCTTTAATAATTTCATAAGTCAACACAAGTTATTTTAGTGCATTTTGTCCTCACTTGTGAAGTTTAAAAATTTCACACAGCTTAAAAAAAATAAAATAAAATAAATAAATAAATAATGTACCCGTTGTTGATATATTTTTTTCTATGCTTTATATAGTTACCATAATTTTTCCTATGCATTTTACTATTTGCAACAAAAAATTGTTTTCTTTTGTAAATAAAATATTATCCTCTATTATTACTTTATTTAAATAATAATAAAATTCAAAATTTACAATAGATAAAAAGAACAAACGTGTTTACAGTATAAATAGTTGTGAATTTTTTTTTATTTTTTATTTTATTTCATTATTTATTCATTCTTTGTTGTGGCATGCAATATAAAATTTTTGGCGTATATCTATTTTACATATAATATATATATTTAGATATATTAAGTTTTGTTTAAAAATATTATATTAAAATTTCATTTTTTATTATTCTGAAAATAATTCAAAATATTATTATAAAAAATACCATTTACTATTAATTTAGGCTGCTAGATTATTTTATTATGTGAGCATAGAATTTTAGACCCTATTTAAAAGGTTTGGGAATTATTTTGATCTTAGAACTGATGTAATAATTAAGTGATAATTACGACATGAATTTGACCTTTCTTGTTAATATATACTCCCTCCGTCCCAGATACTGTGTCGGCTACACTGTAGATACGGTATTTTAGGAGGGATGTAATTAGTATATAATTAAGAATATATTAGTGAAAATAATTATTTTATAATATAAATAATTATAAATTAATATTAAGATAACTAATTAGTTTAATTAAAATTAAAAAAAATAAAATTTAAAAATTTAAAATGAGATTAAAGTGTGTAATCATTTTCCAAAAAAAAAAGAGACATGGTACGTGGTACGGATAAAATGGGCAACGTGGACATTGTATCTGGACGGAAGAATATATAATAACTATGATGATGCGTGAGAAGAATAAATTAAGAATGTGTTTATTTATAGTTTTGGGTACGATTTTAAAAGATATTATTCGAAAAGATAAAATACTATTTTCAATCACTGCAAATATAATTATTTACTTTCTTTTTATGTAAAATTTTAGAATATTATATTTTATAGTTATTAGTAGAATAAAATGATAAAAAAATATATATATTTTTACCTTCACACTCATTTATAAATGATAAAAAAATATATTTTTACCTTCGGACTCGTGTATTTTATTAATGGTCATATTGCAAAATATAAAAGTATTTTTTTTATTAAAATAAAAGTATAATTACTAACAAAATGAATATATTGAAAGTTCACGTACTAAAATAAAAAAATAAATAAATTAATAGTACACATAAAAAGTATATAGATTGTGTTTAATTTGTATTTTAATAAAAGTATATACTTTTTTCGTCCTAATTTAAAATATTATTTTTACCTTTTTCATATGTCACACTTCGAAGTATTATTTTCCTATTTTGGTATAAACAATCATATACTTAAAACCAATACCTAAATTATAAACATACAATTCCTTTATACATAAATTTAAATGACAAAAATATCAAAAACATCTTAAATACTTTTACTAACCAATAAAATATTATTGCTAGCATATTTTTTTATGTATTGTCGTTTGAGGCCCACATATATATGTCTATATATATATATATATGCACATTGAAACCCCCTTTTTTGGTCATTATACAATTTCTCTTTTCTGCAAATATTCAAACATGATATCAGAACCTATTTTTCTTTTGGGACAGACATAGTTACTAATCCTTATTGTTTTCGCTGCCAACGCCGACGCGTGGCAGCAGCACGCACCTCCAACGCAAATAGACATCGTATCTCTCTAGCGACTGCCGCCTTCCCACCGCGTCCGGCGGTTTCCGGCCGCCATCTCCTGCTTCGATCCCAGATATCTTGGTATGGTCGGTTTTGCCATCTGATTTGAATTTATTTTGCGACTGTTACTGGATTGGCTTGTCCAGTCTGATTTTCTGCACGATTCTTTTGCGCGCTATACTATTCTTGATTTTCTCGCTTCATAGTATGGCTTTTAATATGGATCGTGTAGACGCTTCCGGGATTACTATTAGTCTTTCTAATGATAATTATGATTTGTGGGCTCAATCCATGAAGAGTTTCTTGATTGGTAAAATATTATGGCACTATGTTATTGACGACTTTTCTGCACCGATTGCTCATGTTGTCACTTCTACGGCGCCCCTCAACAATAAGGATCTCACGGACTATCAAAATGCCTTGGATGAGTGGGATAGTAAGAACCACATTATTCTTACTTGGATTCGAAATACCTCTTCCAAGTCCATTCAGATTCAACTTCGCCGCATGGACACTGCAAAGAAAGCTTGGAATTATTTGCAGCATCGATATCAAGCCACTGGAGGCGTGCATTATTATCAGCTTATAGGGTCATTGAATGCACTGACACATGACTCACGCCAAGATATGAATAAGTTCCTCTCTACTATACAGTCTATGTGGGATCGCATTGATGAGACAGACATATAGATTGAGCACTTTTGGTTGATTCAGCTCTTAATGAAGCTTGGTCCATAATATGATTCTGTGTGTGCTTCCTTGCTTTATTGTCATCCCTTGCTTCCTTGGAGACAACGATGAAGGAGATTTTGTTTGAGGACACCCGTCTCAAGATGCTCAAGGCTCTTATCCTTGATTCGGCCTTGGCAGTTCCCTCTTCTACTCCTCATCGCAAGGATGCCTGACCATCTTAGTCTGATAAATGTCACAGTTGCCTGAATGTTGATTATCTTTATATCTATTGCCCTAAGGTTGAGTGTCACTACTGTCATCAGAAAGGCCACATCTATTCGCATTGTTCCAAGAATTCCAAGGCTGGTCAGTCTTCTTCCGGCTCTTCCTCTGCCATTGCTGCTGCCACTAGCGTATCACAGTTGCCTTAACCGTCTCCCACTCTTGAGGACCTACGTCGCATGCTCACTCAAGTTTTATCAATTCATCATTCATTAGCCTCGACATCATGTAACAACACATGGTATATTGATTCTGTCTGTTGTAACCACATGACACCTAACCCTCGCCTTTTACATTCTTCTCAACCCGTCACCTCATCCCTTCCTATACTTACTGCTGATGGAACCTCCATGTGCATTACCCATACTGTCCATATATCGTCCCCCCATCTCGATGATGTTTATGTCATTCCCAAGTTAGCCCTAAACCTTGTGTCTGTCGGTCAATTGGTTGAGCAAGATCTTACGGTATAGTGTGCAGGTTCAAGACACGCAGACGGATCAGATACTTGGGACGGGTCGCAAGACAAGCCGCCTATTCG